TCCCTTCCCTTCCCTTCCCTTCCCTTCCCTTCCCCTCCCTCACCCCCACCCTCACCCTCACCCTCACCCTCTCCTTCCTTCCTTCCTTCCTTCCTTCCTTCCCCTTGGCCTTTTCCAGATATGTTGAATTTCCACTTCCATAATTTCCATCCAGCATGCTGAACTGGAATATGGAAGTTAACATCCAATGTATCTGAACGGTATTACCTTAGAAGATGGTTAGACAGAGAGGACCTGGGAATCTTCAGACACCCGTCTCTGCTGCAGGATACCACTCATCCCAAGAGGGTTTACTCCAGATGTTTTGGTCTCCTGAAGCTACTCAAGAAAGTGTAAAGCCTAGAGCAGCACACCCTTCAGAAGTGAAGGATGACCCATCGCATCATCCCCAGATAGCAACTTTGTGATATTGCTCACTTCGGGGAAGAATGTGTGAAACACAAGAGACTTCCAGCCTCTGAGCTCTACAGCTTTAGGTGGTATGTCAAGAGCACAGTTCCTTAAGAACCTGCTGAGTTAAATGTTTCAATAAAAAATGTTTAGCTTTACAGTCAACATGCCATTCTTATAACAGCTAAGCAACTTTATTGCTACAAACCCATTCTGACTGACCACCTAGACGTAGTTCGGTTCCATTTTCCGTGCAGGAAAACATAACGTCTCTCTTGTCTGAATTATACATGGGCACTGCATGACCATATTTAGAGACAAGAGAATGCCTGGGGGTCACATTTCAATATTGAGCAGCGTGTGTGTGTGGGTGGGTGTCTAAACCTCTAGAAAACTCCTTCATTCACTGCGCTAAATCCGATCATCTTATGCCTCAGGATTCTGGGTTGATTCATATTTTTAAAGCAAGTTTGTGCTATACCTACTTCTTGGGTAGTTTCACTCCATTGCTTCTATTTTCTGCTGGCGCTAATTTGTCATTTGGACAGCCTAGAATAGTCAGAATTTTTTTTCCAGCTTCACTTGAGTGGGGTTTCTGTTTCTTTCTCGCACGGCGCTGATGCAACAGGATTAATGTGAACGGTACCGCTGCAGCCGGTCGCTCTCAGAAGGTGATGAAATGCTCCAGACTTCCCTGATCTGATACTTTCCAGATGTTTTGGCTGGCAATTCTCCCTGCCCCATCAGCCCTGCTGGCTGGGGATGATGGCCTCTGTAGTCCAACACATCTGAAGAGCAGATGGTTGGGAAATATTGAAACCTAACTGTCCTAAACATTACGGTCAAGAGGATGAAGGGAGAAGAGCGATGACCTCTGTCCACGGTCAGAAAATAATTTGAGAATGTTTTACAATTACAGATGTTAGTTGCGTAATCTGTACTGTCTTTAGCAATTTGAACTAAGATGCTTTTTAACATTAAAAAGAGGTGTGCCCGGTGTAATATGTCAGCCTTAAGAATTGCCATTTTCTCTATAAAAAAATTCAGACCCTTCAACAAAAATACTGGATGGCTGTTTTTCTAAAATCATCCAAGACATTTGGGAATGTGTTTTTTGCAGGACGAAAGCTGGCAATTCTATTACTTCTCCTCTCGATATTTGACGTTTGGACCTAAATGTTCAGCAACAGTTTTCGATCAATATACATATCTAGTCTTCTTAAATGAGCCTGTGTATTTATGAGGGTTAACAATCTCTGGCTATGAAGGTTATATAAATCTCTCTCACCCATAGAATGTCTCAACTGATCATGCATTATTGGGCTGAATTTTGATAATCTGGTTTTCTTCTTCTGGAAACTTTTTTGGAAGCACGGATTTTGCTTTCAACTCTGCTTTGCTTTGACTCACGGGAATGTTCTAACTCTTCATCTCGTTTTAAGAGGGGAGAATCAAGGCTTTAAAGACAGAAGTTACCTTGGCAGCTTTGTAAACCAGCCGCAATGTCCGCATCATTCAGGATCCCGGCGAATGCCATCTCAGAGCTGGGAGGGGGGAAAAGAGAAGACGTTGAGATTAAATTACACACTGTTCACGTTTTCAGACAAGACCTGCAAGATGCAGGAATCTTCTCAAGGCAGATCCTTGCAGCAGCCAGAAGCAGCAGCGACAAGAAGAGAGTGGATCGGGGTCCAAGGCAGGGAAATCTAGCAAAGAGAGTGGCTTTCTCGGGAAGAATCCTGTGGTCCACCCAGATTATTAACCCTTTTTTGGCCCCACTGAGATGGTCAGGAAGCAGCTGCTTTTTGATTCCACATCACATTCCCAGTTTGTGCTATCTCAGGATCTTTGGCCTGGTTAAAAAAAAAAGGGGGAAAAAACCACAACTGTAGGCTTGCTGGCTTTGAGAAAACGGATTGCTCCCATGCTGTTGGGCTATTTAGGATCATAATGCTTGCTCTTGACTGGAAGAACCACA